GATCATCGCTTCTGGGCCTCGGTTTTCTCATCTGCAGAGTGAGAGAGACTTTAGCTTTAAGGAAGCGTGGGGGCATGGGCTCCCAAGGTGAGGGAGGGGGATCACCACCCACGACTGACCACAGGCCCTGCAGTCCCTGAGCAGCTTGTGGCCGTGGGCAGGTCACCCCACCTCTCCTGCCTGTCACTTCTGCCTTCTCACCCAGGAAACAGACTAGGTGAGAATCAAACCCGGGAAGTCCAGGGCTGGAAGAGTCAGGTGGTGTTCTTTCCATATTCTCCCAACTCATGACTGGTTTGGACATGCTGTTGGGGCTAGGTGGGCGTAGACCCCCATCCTGTAAGGTCTGGTGGCTGGACTTAGAGATCTGATAAAAACCAGCTTTGACTACAGCAGGGTTGTTGCAGGCAGGTTGATGGAGACACATATTTGACCTGTAGAATCTCAAGGACTCCTTTGTAAAGGAGACTGAAGCCATCCATGTGTGGGCTGAGAGAATTAGCAATCAGCACCGAACCCAAAATACAACCATGACTTTCATGTGCCCAAGGGTAAAATCCAGGTTAATGTTTCCTGAGGAGAAAGCTCAAGCTTCCTGGCTTAAGGATAATAATTAACGGCTGGGGAACCCATGCACTAGGGGTGCTAATCCATTCAGGTGTCCTGGTAGCATTTCAGGAAGAACCAAGGGTGGGGTGGGCAACCTGCTATGATCACAGCAGTGGTCCTCGGTGGAGTGCAGCCTGGTGGGGTCTTGGACTCAGAAAGTGAAACCCAGTTCTGAATTTGGTATTTATCATCCCATGCACACCCTCAAGGTTTTACTACATATGCATATATTCCTATCTGATATAAGATATGAGTGTGGTTTTGTATATTTCCAAACTTAATATAAAGGCTTTATAGTCTATGCAGTTTTCTGCATCTTTATTCACACAGCATGATTCACCTGTGTTGATGCCTGAACAGGAACTTGGAACCTGGACCCTCAGGTTAGAAACCTGGTGCTCTGCCAACTGAGCTATCCAAGGTCCCTGATTCACCTGTGTTCACCTCTAGTTCATTGTTTTTCATTGATGAATGGCATTCTAATGTATACCACAATTTATTTCTCCAACATCCTGATGATTAACATTTGGGTTGTTAAAAGTTTTCCGGTAGAAACAATGCTGCATTTGTAGACAGAAGTTGTTGAGAGTGGGATTAAGCATTTCTTCAAGGTAAACCCAAGAGTAGAACTGTGGTAATTGCTGGGTTGCCAGGTATTTGCAACTTTAGTTTACTAGATATGCCCAAATTGCTCTCCAGAGTTGAAGCTTTTAGCTTCACCTTTTTATGGTCTTTTAACACATATTTTTAATTTCAATGATGTTAAATTCTCACAAGAAACCTGTGAAGCTTATCCTTATTTATCCTAAGGTTATAAAAGTATTCTTTATTTTTTTTCTAAAGTATTTAAAGTTTGCTTTTCGCAGTAGGTTTGTGTGCACCTGGGTGATTTTATATATGGGGTGAGGTAGAGATTTTCATTTTTTTCCCCAGATAATTAATTGTCCCGCCACCATGTATTAGCCCATTCCTTCTCCTCTAATTTTTCAAGGAGGAAAAAAAAATAGTTGTTTTGAAAAAAAAAAAAAGACTACCTAAATAAAATATTAGCAACTGAAACCAACAATGGTTTAATAGCAACAATTACAACATTATGAGCAAGTTATGTGTGCCCCAAGAATTCAAAGATGCTTTACCATTAGAAACTCTGTTGATGTAATTGAACTCATAAAGTAGAAACCCATATGAAAATCTCAATAAATTTAGGAAAAGCATGCAATTAGCAATTGTTAATATTTTATTTATTGCATTTTGCCTTAAAAATGGTGTTTTTAGAAATGTTTAAAAGTTCAAAGCAGCAAAATCAAACAAAAATGAAGCACGAGCAATAGAGATACTGCAGTATCCATTCTGGTGTATGTCTATGTATGTCTAGCACAGTCTTTTCTCAGATAAATTCTTAAGGTCACTTTCAGGTCTAAGTTTCTGTGGCTACAAATAGCATTTTTGGCAAGTTTGGTTTCAGTTTGGCCGTTATTCAACTCCTAGATTCCATGCAGGGCCTGAGAAGCCCAAAGAAATAAAAGATAACCCAGTCCACTGGACCCTATGATTCCTCACTTCTGAGCATTACCGGACCTTAGACCCAGCCGGCCTCTCACGCAGTGGATCTCCTAGCATTAACCCAAGACCGGTTCTCTGCATTCAAAGTCGCCTGCTCAGCCAGAACGGGTAGGTAAGAGTGCTCCAGAGACTGGTGGGTCTGCCTATCCTCCCTCCTAATTCTGCCCTTCCCCTGGGGAAAAGGTGGAGACACCTGAACTTGGCGAGGGTGGGGATGCCTGTGCAGAATCAAGGGCTCGGGTTTTAGAGAGCGCCTGGGGACGGACCTCCCGGGCCCCGGTGGCAGGCAGGGGCGTCAGATGGGGGTTAAAGGAGTTCGGCCAGAAGGGCTGGAAGGGGAGGCGGAGGAGGTTCGATGGGGAGCGAGGTAAGGACCCGCAGAGATTCACGACGCAGGCGGCAGAAGGGGAGGGTACGAAGGACCAGGGCCGGAATTTCCAGTGCGTCTGAAGTGCAGCGATCACAGCCACCGAGTGCTACCTGAGAGGGTGGATGTAAACGGTTGGCCGGGGTGACCTCAAACCAGAGCTCCCTTCAGGTCTGCAGGCATGGCCAATTCAGGAGTGAGCCTCAGTGCTGCAGGAAGAGGAATGGAGGATGAACAGGAGCCGCCCTTACAGCCTCAGACTCAGGTGACCCGCTCGCGCCACGCGCCCTTAACACCTAGTGCGCCTTCACGTGTGCCTCGGCCAAACGCTCTGGCTGTAGATAATGTTTTGCGCGAGCCTTATGCTGACCATTTCAGTACCCACTCGGCTTTCACGACCCCTTCGGCTTGGACTTGGAGCTTCTCAAAGACTCACTGCGCATGCGCTTCCTTCTCCCCTCAGATGTACTTTTGGCAAGCGTCCCATTGAAATGACTGCACATCTTCCCCTCAGCGCGCATGCTCTTCCTCCTGCGCCGCTACCGCGGCCACTGCCCCCATGGGGCAAAGCCGGACTGCACAGGCTCCTCTTCCTCAGAATGCTGGAGAAATGTATACATGCTAGATGCCGTCCTGCGATCTGGAAAGGTCTGAATTCCGAAACCCGTCCAGCCGTTGCATTTCAGATGAGGGACTGCGGCCTGGTGTGAACTGCATTAGGCACAGCCACTCTGGAAGGCTTAACGAAGGCACCCTGTTTTCTGTCTCTATCGCATCATCTGACATACTATATATTTTCTTTGTTCATTTTGTTATTGCCTGTCCCCCTACCACCAACCTCCACCCCCCGCCAGAAGGAAAGCTCTGTGAGGTTATGGATTTCGTCTCTTGTCCCCTGCTATTTCCCCAGCTCCTAGAACAGGTTTATTGCTTGCAGTAGAGAGTTAAGCAGTATTTGCTCACTGAATTAATAATCACTGTCATAGCTAATATCTGAAAGCTTTTCATGACAAGTCATGAGACTAGGCAATCTCCATGCACAATCTCAATGAATTCAATAATTTCCTGCTGTCTTGGAGACCTACCAGCATCCTTCGCCACATGGGCTCACATGTCATCAGGCACTATGTCTCTTGCTGCTTCCTGCAGATCTGCTCTCTTAGTGGAACTCTCATCTCCACACAGGCTGCATGGAGCTTTGACATGATTCCAGTGAAACCAAACCCCTGGATTCTCACCTGGTTTCCTCCTGTGGCTTCTGGCTTGGGAGGAAGTTACACAGACCTTATAGGAACTGTGGCAGACAGGGTGCCTGTCAGGACTTGTCTCCAGACCTGTGGCAATATCTTTGGCAGAATCCTGCCCTCCCTCCAGAGCCTCATTCTCTGCCTTCTCACGCCTGGCACAGTATCTCACCAAATGGTGAATGTCCTTCTGTCTTTTCCCTGGCTATATCTGTCCCCAGCACAGTTCCTGGTTGGGACAGGCACTTGATGTTTGACTGATGAATGAATAAATAGTCCTCAAGTTCTGGAAATTCTTCGGAAAATCTTTAGCCAAATATACTTCTGCCATGAAACTTGTATTTAAGTATTGAGAAGATAATAAATTTGACCTGCAGCTTTTTAAATTTGCAGGCCTATTTGCGAGAACAAGAAAGACAATATGATTTACTGGAAAAAGATCACTAATTTAATTTTAGTATAGTTGATTACATTGTGAATGCCTAGGAAAATATCTGAGTTAAGCAGTTGATTGTTGTACCTTCGAAGGAGCGAAGAACTTTCAGCACATATTGCATTTTTAAAAATTTTAATGCGCATGTTATTTTGTAATTAAAATTATACAAGGGAAAATATAAATAAGATTATGAATTCCTAAAAAAAATACCAACTAAATGGGCGAGGCATCAGGGCACTGAGTCCTCATGACTCGATGCCTTGGGGAGTTCTCCCTCCATCTCTAAGGGTGTTGCACTAGGATGAAAAGCTGTCCTTTACTGTACCAGGTGTATATGGCACGCATCAACCTTGGCTGTTCCACAGCCTGGAGGTAGGCATTATCATCTCCAGGTCCAAGTGAGGAAGTGACTCAGTGAGGACAAGGGAATAAGGGCAGAACTAGTTGGGACCCAGGCACTGCCCCCAGCTGCAGCTGCTCCCTCTTGCTCCATGTGCCCCCCAAAACCCCACACATGGCCCCTTTTGTTAGCCTCTCTGCAGAACAGGCTGGGAGGTCAGAGAATGAGGCCCAGCCACTCTGCTGGAGAATATTTCTCCAGAATGAGTCCCTGGGATTTAAGGGCTGCTACCAGGGGCAGAGCTTTACTCCACGGGCCCCCAGCTCAGGGCATTGTCCTCTAGAACCACAGCAGGCATGCCCAGGGACAGCTTGGCAAGCAGGGCCAGGAACTGCTGTCCATCTCAGAAGAATGCTAGTGGGGTGAGGGGCTTGAGAAGCAGCGGGGTCCTGAACTCAGAGCAGAAGGCTGGGGTTCTTCTCCTACGTGCCAGCCATGTGACCTAGGTAATTCTTTTCCTCTGTGCCTCTATTTCCTCTCATTGCCTGGTTCAAACAGATAGCAATGATGAGATTGGTAGGTTCTGGTCCTGGGAGGGAGGTGGAGGCTGTTATCAATCACTCTGTGTCTCCCCCGTCTCTCCTTAGATTCCAAGCAGGGTCCTGTTTCTGACTATCTGTGCAGCTGGCATTGGAGGGACTTTTCAATTTGGCTACAACCTTTCCATCGTCAATGCCCCGATATTGGTATGTACCCTCTGTGCCCACTGTCATCAGCTGAGTGGACGCTGCTAGGTGAAGGCCGACAGCTGCCTGCTGTGGGGTTTCAGGCCAGCATCCACTTGGCGGCACTTTCTCCCATGCATTCACTTCTGCTGGGATGTCTCACAGATCCTGCATGTTCAAATCCAGCTCTGCATCCTTTCCTGAACCCACATTCTTCCTGAGTCCCTGATGTCAATGGATGACTCCATTGTCCACCCAGTGACTGAGAGTCAGCCTTGACTCAGCCCTCCCTCCCTCAGACACCAGGTTCTTCCTAACTACCTCTAACATCCAGCCATTTCTCCCCATGTCTCTGCCACAACACCTGTTCAGGCCCCATCTCTCCTGTCTGGATTGCTGGTCCAGCCTCCTCACTGGCCTCCCTGCCTTTAGCCTCTCCCCTTCTAGATCCTCTCAAGTTTGATCAAGCCAATTCCTTGCCTAGAAACATTCTATGGCTATTGGAAGGACAGACACTGCCTATTGGAAGGACAGACACATCCACCTGTAGTCCAAGTTCTCCTGGGATCAGAGCCTGTTCATCTGTCTCCCACCTTCATTTCCCCAACTGCACTACTAAAGCAGGTTATGCAGTTCCCTGATTACACACAGCCCTTCCTCAAACCCTCCTTCCACTGGGAAGTTCTCTCTGCCCTACCTGCAGAAGCCACTCAAGAACTACCCAAATGCCATCATCCTCCTGAAACCTTCCTTCAACAACCCCTCAG